GGCCAACTTGGCTTGGGGCCTGCTAAGGCCCTGGGGTTTGTGAAGGGCAAGGGGATTCCGGGTGCAGGAGGGCTGCAATCCAGGCTGGTCCTGTGTGCTCAAAGCAAGAAACTGCAGCAGTAAAACCATGGGGAGGTCTGTAAAACTCTCCCAGCTGGCAGACTGTTCTGAGCGGCTCAGGGGCAGTGGGAATGTTCTTGTGTCGCACAGTGGGTTGGCTTCCAGCTGGAAGCACCTGTGGAGAGAGGGGCTTTCCGGGCCAGCTAGTCTGCTGTCCTTGTGAGACTCTTGGGCTCTCCCAAACGGGGCCTAAGTTTACAAGACCCTGCTCCTGACACCAGATTAATGTGGGAAATTACCAATACGGAGTCAGGTAAAAATATAAGTGTATTTATTAGGGAAAAGCCTTACTTACAGAGCAACCTACCCAGCCAAAGATGAAACAGAAGAAGGGAAGCCCACGTGCATGCCCCTCACTCTTAAACCTTCCCTATGTCACCCTGACCATGCCCTCGAAGGCATACCTGTAGCCAGCCCCTACCAGGTGTGGTTAAGGTGTCCCCTACATGTAGTACTGGCTATCCTATAAATAACTATGTAGCCAACGCTGGCCTCAAACTCATGGCAATCTTGCTTCCTTAGCCCCCCAAGTGCTGATAGTTCAGACATACATCACCACACCTGACCTATGTCTTATGTTTTAAAGTTATTTAAATGGGCTTTCTTTGCAAATAATGCTACTTACCCAGTTGGAAATTTCTGGAACATATTACTGATTGTTGTTGGTATGTTTGTTCCAGTTAACCAATTTATTGTTGTTACATATCATAATAATAAAAGGAAGGGAACTGGAGTTAGAAAGATCTGTGACTGCTCTAGCTCTGCTGCTAATTAGCTGTAGAAAACTACCACTGCAGTTTCATCTTTGCTGTCTTACTTATCTACAAAACAAGGATAATAAGGTCCATTACACCTTTCTCACTAGGCATATATTGTATGAATCAAAACATGCCCATATGTGAGAATGTTTTGCTCATATCAAACCCTGTACTACATAACTGGACATGAAACCACTGTGAGAAATGTAGTTCCATTTTCCGGGTATGTGTAGTGATATTTAGTTTGTAATCTAACAAATAAACCTTGCCTAAAGATCAGAGTACAGAGCTAGGCCACTAGTTAGCCACAAACCTAGTTAAGAGCTAAGCCACCTCAGCAGAAAAAAGCAATGGAATCTTGATATTCGCAGGCAAACGGATGGAACTAGAAGAAACCATCCTGAGTGAGGTGACCCAGTCAAAAACAGACAAACATGGTATGTACTCGTTCATATATGAATTTTAGACATAGAGGTAAGGATTATGCACCTACAATGCACATCACCAAAGGAACTTGGAAGCAAGGAGAACTCTAAGAGAAGAATGCATGGACCCCGCAGAATGGGAAGGGGCTGGATCTTCTGAACTTATTGGGACCAAGAGGGTAGGGGAAAGGGAGATGGCAGAATGAGAGGAGGAGAAGAAGAGGGGAGAGGAGTAAATGGAGGAGCAGAAAGATTGAGTCGGGGGAAAATAGAGGAGAGCAGGATGAAAGATACCATAACAGAGGGAGCCATTTATATGTTTGAGGAGAGATCTGGCACTAGGGTGATTTTCAGAGATCTACAAGGATGACACCAACTGACAATCTAATCTATAGTGGAGAGGCTACTCTAAATGCCCTTCACCTATAATGAGACTGATGACTACTTTTTATGCCATCCTAGAGCCCTCATCCAGTGGCTGATGGAAGCAGAGGCAGACACCCACAGCTAAACACCATGCTTAACTCTGGAACCCAAAGGCACAGAGGAAGGAGTGAAGAGCAACAAGGTCAAGACCAGGCTGGTGAAACCCACAGAAACAGCTAACCTGAACAAGGAGGAGTGCGTGGACCCCAGACTGATGTCAGGGAGGCCAGCACAGAACTTATACAGACCCCTGAATTGTGGATGTAAATGAGGAGGCCTCGGCATTCTATGGGACCTCTGGCAGAAGGTCAATAAATAAATAAATAAATAAATAAATAAATAAATAAATAAGAAAGAAAGGACTTTGGGAGCCCTTCCATGTGGAGGGGTGGTCTCTCAGCCTGGACATGTGGGTGAGGGCCTAGGTCCTGCCCAGGATGATATGACAGACTTTGGGGATCCCCCATGGAGGGCCTGGGGAGCACAGGGGTGATGGGGTTGGGGGTTAGTGGTGGTTGGAGGAGGAGGCAGGAACTGACATATGAAGCAGGCTTGTTTCTAATTTGAACTTGTGTGTGTGTGTGTGTGTGTGTGTGTGTGTGTGTGTGTGAAAAAGGAGCTAAGCCACTAATTAGCTACACACACACTAAGCCACTAGCTAGCCACACATCTAAATCCCTAGTTAGCCACAGAGGACAGGCAGTGGTGACCACACCTTTAATCCCAGCACTCAGGAGACAAGACAGAGGCAGATGGATCTCTATGAGTTCAATGCTACCCTGGGCTACGTGAGAGTGAATCAGTCTAAAGGAGAAACAGAGATGACACCTTTGATCCCAGGACTTGGATTGACACACCCTTAGTCCCAGAACTAGAGAGGAGTATACAACTGGAGCTCAGGGAAGTCTCAGGGGAGTAGGAGGTTTGGTGGAGAGCAGTGATGTCATGCTGAGGACAGAATTGCCCCTCTTTGTTTTCAACCTTGGTAGAGGTGAGAACTCTCTAGTGGCTTGGCTGCTTTGCTTTTCTGATCTTCAGCTTGAACCCAAATATCTGTCTCCAGGTTTTTATCATTTGTGCTACAGGTATGTGATGCTGGATGGGCTTCTTAGCACTTCTTTTTCTTAGTCTTTCTCTTAGGAAGTATAGATAATACTCCCTAACTTCTGGAATTTCTATTAAGGTTAAATGAGTTGTTATGTTAAATTCAATGTGTCTGGTTTGACATTTAATCTGATTATGACTGTGTTCTTTTATTTCTAGGGTAAATTTGTAAAGTAGGTAAGATGAATATACTTTAATTACAATAATGCAACAAAGTATTTTACAGATTTGGTATTAGAAATGTGGTCCATAGAACCAGAGCAGCCACATTGCTTAAGAGCCTCCCATCACTACACCCGAGCCCAGTGTAGACTTATAAAATCAAATATTCATTTTAACAAAATCTCCAAGTGACAGGTACACAGTTAATTTTATAAATCACAAACTGATAAGACACCAGCTGTTGGAAATGAGCTAAAAGAATCTAAAAGTGATCTAAATGGGGTGTCATTTCCTTGTGTGCATTTTTCTTTGTTGTCTATTTCTACACTATGTTTTACTATAATATGAAATGAGCTTAGACACATGGAGATGGCTCAGCAGTTAAGACCATTTGCTGTTCTTAAGGAAAACCCAAGTTAAGTTCTCATCACAAACCACGGGTGGCTTACAGCCAACTCTAACTCCAGTTCCAGGAGATCTGATATCCTTTCTGGTCTCTGCAGGCACCTGCATGCAGGTGGTACCCATACAAACATGCAGATGCACATAGAGATAAATAATATTAAATTTTAAAAAGCAAAACTATAAAAGGAATTGAAATGACCTTAAGAAGAAAACAACAGTAAAAATGAGCAAGCTTTAGCAGTGTTCACAAAGTAGTTATATGCCGGAAAGTATTCACCCCCATCTTCCATGCACCTCTGTGTTGTGAACGATTAGTCGTCTGTGTCTTGAATGAAGTCTTCAAAGTGGAGCCCTTTTAATCCAGTCTGCCCATCGGTTCTTTCCCTCAGAGTCACCATCAAAGGCATTGTAGAAATGGAGTGTGCTAAGGAACATGTCAAGGTTTCTGCTCATTAATAGCCACGGAGGCTATGCTCCTGTCTGTTGTCTAGGTGGATTCTCTGAGCCGAAGGGAAAATATAAGAAAAGATTTAACCTTTTCGTTTGAAACTTTTAACAAGCATTTAGAGGTTTTTTTTTTTTTTTTTTTTTTAAAGCTGCTAGTTAGAGAGGAAAGTTGAGTTTGTTTCAATAAATCTTTAAAACAATCAGACCATGTAACCCAGATAATCAAGTACAGACAAGTGTTAGGGTTTTAATTTGATTTTCACTTTGTTAAGTGATCTGTTTGAAGACCAAGTGATCCTGTTACTGTAGATAGTAGTGATGTTTCACCAATGAGGTGAGTTTGCACATTGCTGATGAAGGAAAGTTAAGCCCACTTTATTTTAACCAAAGATCTATAGCCCTTTGTGAAGTATCAAGAGAGTCATCTTGTCACTCCTACCAATGGGGAGATTTATAAGTTATCCCAAACAAGCTCACATCTCCTGGGCTGCAAAGATATGTCAAGAGAATGAATGTGTGGGAAGGTTATCAGGGAAATGTTTCCAGATGAAGCCTGCACCTTTTATTTAATTTCTTTATTGATTAGAATTCTCCTTTAAATGGAAACATCCCTTTAAACATAGCAACAAGATTTTGATTTATGGAAAGCCAGATGCTTTTGCAGTTTGATTTAAATGGAGGTAGCTATGATTTTAGCAGAAGTATATATTGAGCCTATGTTTTGGCCTCTCACACTAAAAAATGTGTGGGCCCCTTGGAGATAATGGTGAGGGAATTGTAATTCTTTCCTGAATGCTAACAGGCTCAATTTTTCAATTTGTAATTAAATATTCCATAGACATCTTAGGATGCTAGAACCAGTGCTTTTCAAGCCAACCTTGATGAAGTTATGGCAAATAAAGGCTAAGAAGAAAAGTCACCCGAGAAATTAAGATGATTAAATAGTTATACCCACCAGGCCTCTTAGAATGCAGTTAGCAGTGATTGTGAGCATTTGAAAGAAGCACATAGCCAATCACTGGCACATAATTCAAAATTTAATAATGGATCCAGCTCTTATTATCTGCTTTACAAATTTCAGATGTAGAAAATTGTATGAGTGAATATTTTTAAATGGCCAAAAGGCAATAAAAGGGAAAATTTCAAACAGAAAAGCCATGTATACCACAAATAACATTGTTAGCTTGACCCTTATGCAGTTTTGCCACATCCCAAGTTATATTGTTACCCATTTCTAGATATAGTTTGAGCCTCTCCTATGATCTTCAGACTAAAAATTTACTCACATTTTTACTCCTTACTATCAGGAGAACAAACATCCAATATATGAACAGGATAAGGGTTGGAAGGCTGAGTCAGGAGGATTACAGTCTTGAAGCTAGCAAATACTCAAGAGCAAGAGACTGTCTCATAAGACAAACCAGTGCTGAACTCACCATTACTAAATATCACGGTAGCTCAGTAGTTCTCAGATTCTCAGAGAAACATGCTAATTTTTATCATAGCAGGCAGAAAGAGATGCCAATCACATCTACTGAATAAAATCATATGCCTTCTATATTATAGAAACCTAAGTAAGATAACCAGTTTAGCTCATTAAATAAAAATTACTCATTTTATTTACACATATGATTTTTAAAAATTCAATCTCACAATTATCATTCAAAGCTTTTCTTAAGAAACATTTATATTGCAGGGCGTTGGTGGCACACGCCTTTAATCCTAACACTCGGGAGGCAGAGGTAGATGGATCTCTGTGAGTTTGCGGGCCGCCTGGTCTCCCGAGTGAGTGCCAGGATAGGCTCCAAAGCTACACAGAGAAAACCTGTTTCGAAAAATCAAAAAAAGAAACATTTATATTGATGTGAGTTATGAGAATGACATTATTTTGAGCCAAAAGAAAAACATAGCAAAGGAAAGTATCTCTTAATATTGTCATCAAATGTTCTTTCCATTACTTGCTTTTATTTCTCTCTCTCTCAAAAAAATCCTGTCTTATCTTTATTTCCAAATTATGATGTGCAATTCTGATAGATATTAGGGTGGTGGTTGTTTTTTCTTGTTTTGTTGTGAGGGAGCTTACTTATTGTTCTCTTGATTGTGATTTCCAGAGATGTGTCAATTCAAAAGGCTATGTACAGGCTCACTGATACAAATTTGTTTATCTGTTTTCTACTCCATACATTTTTTCCTTTGTATGATTGATTCAAGATTCTATACTGATTTCTAACATGTGGAAATGTATACCTAGTTTGTTGATTTTATTATTTTATGATGTTCCCATCTGAGACTATAACTCTTCATCTAGGCATTCTTTAGCTGCACTTTTATCTCTTTGGGCTTGTTATTCCTTAAAAAAATACTTTCTAGGCCCGGCGTTGGTGGTACACGCCTTTAATCCCAGCACTCGGGAGGCAGAGACAAGTGGATCTCTGTGAGGCCAGCCTGGTCAACAGAGTGAGTGCCAGGACAACCTCTAAAGCAATACAGAGAAGCCCTGTCTTGAAAAATCAAAAAAGAATTATAAATTCTAGACAGTTAACAACCACTTTCTGATTGGATTTCAGACTGAATTCATGAGATGGAATGCTCAAAACTGTCACTATTAAGGGACCCAAGAACCTGTAGATAGGTTGGCTATAGGCCCTAGGGGAAAACCTGTTACTTCTGTTAACTGCACATAGTATTAAAATGACTTATAATGACTAATTGCTGTACTCATGGGTCAGAGAATTTCTAAATCCTCATAAGAGAGACTTCTCCTTGTTATAGATGACAGTTAATACAGAGATGCACCACTGATCAAAGTACAGAGAATAGAAGATTATGGAGTGCTTAGTCCAAAATGGCATATGTATATCACACCTCTTTTCCCGAAGCTCAGTGATCTTTGAGGAATGGGGGTGGGCATAAAATTATAAGACTGGGCATGGTTGATAATATCAAGGAAACAGAACTTTCCAGGCACAGCAGGGTAGATGCACATAGGAACCCACAGGGATACAGAATATCTGTACAGACTGAAGACAGAAAAAATCCCATCATATAGAGAGAATGTGGGCACAAAATCCCATGACTAGGTGAGAAACTATTGTTGTTTGATAACTATAGTTAGGAGATTTAGTTTTCTTTGATGATATGGCACCTGTTAGGGGAGCACATAACAAAGCAGGCTCCATTCTGAAGACT